TCTAATTTGCAATTTCAATAGTTGACATCATGAGTCAATTGAAGCTAGACCATCATGGAAAACCTGGAAGCAGTGAACGACCGTTTCGTCCCACTGTGGGACTCTTCAGAAGTGCGCACCCACTATCCCGCCTCGTGAGATTCGAACCCAGGACCTATCGGTCTCATGCGCGAACGCCTAACCTATAAACCACTGAGCTGGCCAGCATCCAATGGAATCAATATCTAGCTTCGACTAATCGACAAAATCGAGAAACACACGCACCATTGTCTTTAGTGAGTTACTATCTCACAACAGATCCGGTTGAACTCCACTGGTCATTGCTTCCCACTAAAACTCCAGGAAATACCTTTTGAAGTCAGTCACTAGTGAGCGTTTTTTGATTAGTATCAGAAGGGGTTTTGTAGATATTATAGTAATTCTAATAGTTGAGATCACGAGCCGTTAATAATAATAATAATAATAATAATAATAATAATAATAATAATAATAATAATAATAATAATAATAATAATAATTGAAACTCAGTCAGTCAGTCAGACATAACGTAGGACCAGGCAAATATATGCATCCGTTCAAAGTTGACATACCTCACCACAAGATGAACACCGGATTCATAGGAGTAATTAAGTCAATGGTGGTAACATGTAAAAGAAAGATTGCATATAAGGATATAGTACAAGAAGAAATAGTTAGTTCTTAGAAAGAAAGATATGAAGTGATTTTAATCTCTTGATTTAAAGGAAGACAGAGAGTGTTTACACCTACGTCAATGTGATCGATTCTGAGCCATGTAACTAAGAGTCTCCAATCATTGGTTACGATAGTCACACGGACCCCAACTAAGTAATCTGCATCTACCAACATGGCTTACACTACAAGTTAGTGGCTTTGTGGACTGATGCCACGTTTTGGTTTGACCACCCCTGACTTCCTTTCTACCATCCCCTACACTAGTCAGCACTGTGCGTCGTGGCATTCGGTGTTTAGCCATACGCAGCACGTGGACCAGCCATCTCAGTCGGAGAAGATTCACAACCTTATCAACTGATTTAGCGTCATTCCCTAATACTCTGCGTCTAACCTCAGTATTACTTACCCGTTGATCCCAGCAGATGCGAGCAATATTTGTAAGACATCTGTGGTCAAATATTAGTAGCTTACGAGTATCTTCTACTCTTAATGGCTATGTTTCCCAACCGTAAATTAAAAAAGAATGAACTGCCGAATAGTATGCTCTTTCCTTAATTGATAGAGGGATATCTCGCCTTCGCCATAGGCGACGTAAGTTGGTGAAAGGCAGACGAGCTTTTCAAGTCCGTGCTGAGATTTCGTCAGACACCAACCCATTAGGGATGATCAGACTTCCAAGATAAGTGAAGTTGTCGACGCATTCAACTACTTAATTCGCTATCCTTAGTTCTGGTGCTGATGCAGGTTAGTATTAAAGTAACAACTTGCAATTAGAGGGTGCGAAACGCCTCCCAAACATCCTGGCATTTCTGCCTAGTGCTACCAAAAGATTCTGCATTTTATCAGCGCCTTCACCAAACGAGACTGTCATCTGCGTATTCTAAGTCGATAAGTGGACCCTCCTGGAAGGAGGTCAATACCCGAGAATTCAGTAGAAGAGAACGTTATTTCCGTCAGCATGTCTATGATGAAGTTAAACGAAAATGGAGAAAGTGGACAGCCTTGACAAACACCACTCGATGTTGCAAAAGCAGATGACAGTTCGCCATAAGCTCTGACTCGATTAGTAGTGTTCGAGTAAAGAACCTTCACAAGGTTTATGTACTTCTGAGGTACGCCTTTCAATGACAGGCACTGCCACAGAATCTCGCGGTCTACGGAGTCAAATGGTGGCTTTCGGACTCCGATAAGCATGCCTGTGTTCTAGAACATGGCGAATGGTGAATATATGGTCGATGCAGACACAGCCAGGTCTGAAGCCAGCTTGATTCTCTCGTGTTTGCAGTTTACGAGTCTTAGTGAGGCGTCCGACTATTATCGAGGCTAGAATTTTAGATACTATATTAGTTAAACTAATCCCTCTATGGTTATCATAGGATGATTTTGACTCCTTCTTATATATTGTAACAGTCAGTGATTGTGACTAGTTAGATGGCATTACACACCACTCCCACATTTTAGATAAAATATTAGTGAACCTAATCGCTAAAATTGGACCACCATCCTTAAATACCACTGGAGCCAATCCATCTGGACCAGATCCCCTTCCTTGTTTCAGATTAACTATAGCCTTTCGAACTTCAGTTAGAGTTGGGGGACCTACTTTAATGTTCCATTAACACTGTTTGGGAATTGAGGGTAGTTATAGAGTAGCTGAAGGCCAGCTGAACTGTTGTCTAAAATGTCCCACCCATCGTTCTAAACATCTGGACTGGTAGTAGATGAGAGCATCGTCTTTTTCCGAGATAGTCTCACCTACACTGGACTTATTAATTCCAGTTTCTTTTATCAGTCTGTAGAGCTGTCTTGTGTTCCCTATAGCCACCGCCTTTCCATCTCTTTCGCTTTCGTCGCCCACCAATTCTCATGGTCAGTCCTCAGACTTTTGCTTAACATAGATCTGATTTACTTACGCTCTTCATCGTGTTCAGAGCCTGATGAGATGAGTTTACGAGAGTCCATCAGTGCAACAGATTTGATAGAAATTCATTGGTTTTTCGTAAGGCTTTGGTTCAAATCACTAATGGATGTCACTGCTGTTTCCACTGTTGCTTGTATATCTTTCCGAACAACATCTGGGTCAGCCTCGTTTCTAGAACTACCTAATTGTGACATCCGTTGTTCCTGGAACCTACTTTTGGATTTCTCGTTACTCAATTCAATTCTAATGGGTCTTGTTAGTGTGACATTTTTGCGTCTAGTGATGCTTAAGCAGATACGTGCCCCTATTAGTGCATGGTCGTAGTTCAAGCAGATACACCAGAATGGGCGACAATCTTCTATTGAGCCTCTCCAACGATAACTGATGGCAATATGGTCTATTTGGATCCATCGTTGGTTTGTTGCAGGAGTCACCATGTTAGACGACGTCTCTCCTCATGCTTAAAATTTGTGTTTGCTAAAAATAAACGATTGTCTGAGCACATTTGCAGCAGACGATCACCATTATCTGTTCGTTGAGCCGGAATACTAAAATACCCAACTAAATGCCTTTCTGTTTGGTTTAAGCTACCTATCTGGGCATTAAAGTCACCTGCTGCGAGCACTATGTGTGAACGATTAGCTTTCTGAAGAAGTTCAGAGAACGTTCTGTAAAATTCATATTTCACTTCATCTGAGCTGCAGTCACTGAGAGAGTAGGCAGAATCAACGAAAATGCGACGACGTGTGTCCCTCTCCTTTCGAGTTCTTACGGAGCCGTTTAGTCGAGCAGCACATGAACGACTGTTAACGGGGATCTATTCTGACAGTGCTTGTTCCACTCTCATGCCTAGTGCTATACCTACACGCCTGCCAGTCCACGAGAACTGGCCATCGGGTCTCCAAATACACCAAGGGTGTATCTCGTCGGCTCTCCGTTCTGGCTAGGTGAGGTCAAGTAAATGACCACACTAGGATCCTGTGTGCGTGTTTCGGAGACATAGTGTACATCAATAGTACGAGATTCTGAGGTTTTAATGAAGGAGGTCTGCTGACCTATTTGACATAGTGTGCATACTTTGAAGGCTCCAATGTGTAGTTTGGAGTGAGGATTCAGTGGACCTGGGACAATGTTTTGCGCTCTAAAATCGTTGTTCATGGTGACACTTGAGGAGGAAGTCAAAAGAAGAAGTTTAGAGTTGAAAGTTGGGGTAAGCGGAATAATAGGAATGGAAGATTGAGATTGATCATGAATACAGTGATTTTGAGTGCCGTTAGAGTTATGAGGGCGGTTATCACTTTTCAGTTGCCCATACCATGGAAGGGTTCTTCTGGAGGAACCTGAGAAGGGAATTGTATTAGAGGTGGTCTTAGTGACTTGAGGTCGTGACCGCAGTGCTGAAGGCACAACTGCTTGAGGCCTGTCACACATGACCTTTTTATGATTAGTTTTTGTGTTAGATTCGTATTTGTTGGGATGTTACATTTAGAGACGGGAATTTGTGGGATAAGGCGAGGTGTGGATTTTTAGGGTCGACTTTTTCTAACCCCATCCTTCCTTGTGGGAAGGTAGTATAGCTCAGTTGCTTCATCACGATAGGGAAGCCCGACCAGCATGTCAAGGTAGCAACAGCGGTTGAGAAACTAAACAATCATGAAAAACTTGAAAGCACTGGATGGCCGTTTCATCCTATTGTAACACTCCTAAGTAGTGCGCTTACACGATCCTGCCTCGCGAGGTTCAAACGCATTGTTATAAATTTAATTTGTGTTTGGTTTTTATGACCGTCATTGACCGAACGAGTTTACTCTGAGTATAATACACAGAATTATATCGAATACTTATATTTTATAACTCAACATTCATTTGTTATGCAGTTAGAACAATGGGCTAGAAGATAAAAGGCAAATGTACATTATTGCAAATCAGCTTGAAGAATTATAAACAGTGACAAAGTGGTGAACTGTAAAACCGAATAATTCGAAGATAATAATGCATCAATGACATAGAAAATCTGTGAAACACTATATCTTGGATCAAAAAACAAAATAAAACCGCGAGTTCTTTACTCAACTAAGTTTTAGATGTATAAAGTTAAGAATTATTAAAGTAGGATTCAGAAATTGTCCATTCATAATCAGCAAAAAATACGTATTTTGACCGTAAAATGAAAACGTTCACTAAATTAGAGAACATTTAGTTCAAACACACAACACAAATAAGAAAACTCATCACTCAAACATTATATTACACCATATTTATTTTTAATACGAATTGTTTAATGTACATGATCTGTTTCATAATTAGTTATACTGGATCAACCATCAAATATTTCAGTGGAACTTTGAAAGAACTCTCACGAAATCCATCAGATGTTGACGATTATTCAGGGAGATTGTAACTTCTCATGTTTAGACTGAAGGAGTGTGTAGAGTAACGTGTGGGTGGAACTCTGGAAGAGAAAAGAACGAGAGAAGAAATGTGAATCGATGGCTCAGAAGACACAAGAAAATTCCAGTGAACGATGGAAAACTTTCCAGTGAGGAATCAGAAAAGTACAAGTGTGATTGATACAACATCAGGACAACCACAGACATCAACTATTGATGAAAACACTGAACGTGTACCGTCGTCTGTGTTCTCCGATTGTCGACTCGCCATTCACGTAACCGCTCATGAACTGAGCTTGGGGAGATCGTCTGTGCACACGATTCGTGCGAAATATCAAGGATTACAAAAGCACATGAAACAATGATACAGTAGGAGAGTCTGATTTCTGACGATTTCCAGTGGTGTTGAGAATAATGGGAAGTGAGGTGGGACAATGTCTTATCACAGATCAACAGTATATTGAAGGAGATAAGAGTGAGGCACATGGGGTTCTGGAAAGACAATTATCGATGACTTCGTCCCACACTTCCACCATACAATCTGAGTGACTTTCATCAAACAGGCCACACTACTTACACGTTATCTGTTACACAATACATTTTCATTCAATTCATTCAATGCGAACAATTTACGTTCTGTCGTTATGACAACATACTCACACCACTCATACAACATCACCATTCGTCAAATAATATGGCATATAGAAGTGTAAATTGCGTAAGGTAGGATGATATCATTCTCATTGAACGACACATATTGATAGTTTGCAACAGATACCTTCAATAATTTGTTCCGTTTTGTGTGTCGTGTTGAACAGATGATGAATGTGGAAACCCCATTCATTTCTTCAGAAAAATCAAACATTGGTTTTTAGCACATGTGGTCACTGTTTAAAACCTGCCAATCACGTAAACACATCAGTATGATGTATTTCTCCTGTCTATCGTCTTTATGTTTCGCACTATATTTGTTTTTCTCTTTCCTCTAAACGAAACTGTTGTGTCTTTGATTCTGGCAGCTAAACAAATATGGTGTTCTTAAGCTGACGTGCATGTGATGTGTAATTCAGTGTTTGTGCATTGTTTTTTTTCTCTCCCGTAAATACATACAGTATATACAGGAAAACGTATTTTCCAAGATAGAGGATAAACAGTTGAAATAATCATGTTTCATGACCTTCTGCCGCTCTTAAGGAGTTGATTGAAGTATTACTAGCTACATATACTTCATTAAGATGAATATGAATAAAAGTTTCTACTTTAATTCATAAGGAATGCATTGTTATGCGAATTCCGCTTGCAGGTCCTAAGCCTACGCATAAGAGGTGCATTGCGCGTGGGGTCGACATCCCCGTCCAGTAGAAAATAACCTTGCTACAACAATGCTAATCGGAATAAACAATTTAAACTCTGTCCTTCAAGTTGAAGGAAAGCCGAAATTTTTCGGAAGTCACGATGCCGAAGCGCATGCTCGCAACCACAGAAACAAATGTTATAGGTACATGGAATGTTAGGACACTGTTAGAGACCGAAAGGATCAGTTAAATAGCAACGAAAATGGGGAGATACAACTTGACATAGCCCGGAATCACCAAAACCCATTGAACCCAAACTGTACAGAAGAGAATTGATTGAGGAATGATGATACTGTACTGCGGTCACGGAGAGGAAAATACTCCACACAATCAGGGAGTTGACCTGATGCTGTCCAAAGAAGCACGTAAAGCACTTGTAGGATTGGAACCTCATGGATCCAGGACCATAAAAGCATAATTTAAAACAAAGAATTAGAGGATCACAATGAATGTTGTACAATGTTATGCGCCAACCAATTATAGCAATGACGACAATAAAGATCAGTTATACGAGATTATGCAGTCGATCATAAAGAAGTGCCTACAAAACGACCTGACAATCCTGATGGGAGTTCTAAACGCCAAAGTCGGAATGGACAACACCGAGTACGATGATATCATGGGACGACATGGACTGACCAAGAGAAAGAAACGAGAGTGGTGACAGACTTGTAGACCCATGTGCATTCAACAAACTGGTTATAGGTGGCCCAATATTTCCTCACAAACACATACACAAGGCTATATGGGACCAACTGAATCACATCACAGAGAACCAGACACATAATATTTGTATCAACAAAAAATTCACAAGGTCAACGGAAAATGTGAGAACCAGGAGGGAATCAAATATAACTTAAAATAACCACGTGATTGTGGTTGCCAAGATGAAACTGAAGCTAAAGAAACATCGGATAACTGACGAAACAGCAGTACAATGGTTTAATACAGACTTCCTAAGAGATACTAACAAACTCAACAAATTCAAGATAACTCTCAACAACAGGTTCCATGATCTACTTACATGATCTACTGAAAGAAAAAGAAATTACTATGGAGGACAATTGGAAAGGGATCAAAGTAGCATTAACTTCAACGTGTCAGCAGGTGGTGAGCTGCAAGAGGCATCATCACATGTGATGGATCCTCATCAAAACCCTAGACAAGACTCAAGAAAGGAAGAACCAGAGAGACCGATGAAGGACAAGGAAGGCAAGACCATCACCGAGACTCAAGAGCAGAGAGACTGATGGGCAGAACACTTCCAACAACTCTTGAATAGGCCAGCTCTAGTGCATCCTCGGATATCGAAGTATCACTCACAGACCTTTCAATACATATCACTCCACCAACGGTCGAACAATTCAAGATGGCCATGAGACAAATGCAGAGTGCGAAAGCATCAGAACCTGACAATATACAAGCCGGAGCACTAAAGTCAGATATATAAGTACCTGCAACCATGTCCAACATTCCATTGGGGAGGAAGAACAAGTGCCACTGACAGACCGGAAACAAGGATGACTCATCAAAATTCCAAAGAAAGGAGATCTGAGTAAGTAGACGCCCAACTCCAAGATCAACAGACCGGATTCCGTGAGGATTGGTTGAGCGTGAATCAAATCGCGACACTACTGATCATCGTTGAAAAACCAATTGAATGGAACTCGTCACTACACATCAATTTCCTTGATTGTGAGGAAGCAGTCGACAGTGTGGATGGGAGATCATTATGGAAACTTCTTCGACACTATGGAGTTTCTGAGAAGATTGTCAACATTATCCGGAACTCATACAACGGAATACAGTGCAAAGTCGTGCATGGAGGACAGCTGACAGATGCATTACAAATGAGGATCGGCATCAGAAAAGACTACTTATTCTATCCTTTACAGTTTCCTCTCCTGGTTGACTGAATAATGAAGACCTCGACATCTGACGCGAAGCACGGAATACAATGGATAGGTCGGATGCAACTAGATGATTCGGAATTCACAGATGATCTCGCCCTTCTATCCTATACACATCAACAAATACAGATGAAGACTGCCAGTGTATCACCAGCCTCTTCATCAGTAGACCTCAACATACACAAAGGAAAAAGCAAGATCCTCGAATATAACATGGAGAACACCGACCCAATCACACTTGGTGGAGGAGCTCTGGAAGAAGTTGACAGTTTCACCTACCTGGTCAGCAGCATCATCGATGAACAAAGACGATCTGATGCAGGTGTAAAGGCAAGGATTGACAAAGTAAGGATTGCATTCTTACACTTGAGGAATATATGCAACTCAAAACAACTGTCAACTAATATCAAAGTCATAATCTTCAATAAGAACGTCAAGACAGTCAGTTCTACTGTTCGGGACTGGAACTTCGAGAACTACTACAACCATCATCAAAAAGTTGCAAGTATTTATAAGCAACTGTCTACTCAAGATACTCAATGTACGTTGACCGGATACCATCGGCAACAGTCTACTGTGTGAGAGAACAAACCAGCTTCTATCTGAAGAGGAAATTAGGAAAAGACGTTGGAAGTGGATAGGACATACATTGACGAAACCATCAAACTGTATCACGAAGCAAACCCTAACTTGGAATCGTGAAGGGAAACGGAAAAGTGTAAGGCCAAAGAACACACTGTGTCGGGCATTGGAAGCAGATATGAATAGGCTGAATAGCAACTGGAAAGTATTGTCTGGGACAGTGTTGTATGGAGAATGCTGATGAGCGGTCTATACTATTACATGAAGGGTAACAGGCGTAAATAAGTAACTATTACGATACTCCTCAAGAAATTACTACAGTTATCCATATGTGAATGGCCATCTACCAATCGTCGACGGCTGGGCCTTCTTTAGTACAAAGAGAAATTTAATTATGTCCCTCTACACACAGTTACAAAGAATTTGCAGTCTCTATATCCCCGATAATGAATTGAAACTCAGCAGAAAAATGTTTATTGAAATGGTTATTGAAGAATAAAGAAAATCAAACTTCAAAAGTACAAATAAGCTACGCCTCAAAAGGATCGTTTATGCGGACATTGATTACGGTATAAAAACTTTAGACGTCTTGAATTAAAGAATTTATGAATCTCTCAGACGAACATTCTTCACGGAAGCCTTGCAATTAGTGTTCTGTAGCTATGGTGAAGATTTGTAGCTCAGGTGGATGATTTTGATGGAGATTTGTTCTCTGAGCTGGGTGGCTTGGTCGTAAAAGTGGATTGTTTGAATTTCGTCTTTTCACTTCTACTTCAAGTTTGTGCTGATGATGTCGTTAAGAAGAACGATGATAGCTCCACGACTAAACCATCCATTTCAGAGAACAAAACTCCACCAAAAATTCTGCAGCCGACCTCTGTTCAAAAACTACTTGAAGGATAAGCTGTCGCATCTGACCAGTTCTACGTGAATTATTAGAATCACATGTTCTTGTGGAGCTAGGTATACAGACTGTTCAATGAGCGTTCTATTCAAAATAATTTAGGAACATTATTCAGCTAGGTTGTAAGGAGGAAAAATGAATTAATGAGAAGTTCCAAAGTTGAACACATTATGAACACAGGCTATCCCAGTAAAACAGATACAGAGTTCAAAGTCGTCTTCAAGGTAAGTAGAAAGCTGATAAATAAAGTGACCTTTCGTCTTTTTAGCATTACCGTAGTGTTTCTAATTCATCTGCAAAACAAGAACCATTTATGAAAAAAAAAAGAAAACTGACCAACCTCTTCTTCTGCCATGGTTTTCCATTTTTTCCAAAGCCATCACCTTACTTCCTATCTCTTTCTCTATCAACCTTGTACTCCCAACCAACTTATTTCTATTTCCATTCTCTACCTGATTATAAATCATTCCAATCCCGGTATTTTATATTATGAAGTCACGGAATCTTACTTTCATAGTACTCAATCGTTATTCATCTTTTTGATGAACACTCAAAATCATAGCAACTAAATCTTCAGTTTTTTGGTAAAATAACATATTTGTGCGTTTGTTTTCTCTATACCTCCGTTGCAATATTTAACGAATCAATTATTTTCATAGATTAAATGATGAACTAAACTTAGACAACTACTAGAAACCTGGAGACACAGGACGGTTGTTTCAACCTCAGCAGTGACAATAGACAAGTTGAACCTACGAACTAACGTCGCGCCTGAACGTCTGAGCTCATGAACACAGGTCTATGGATGTAAACTGCTGTGGATTCATATACTTGGACGAAACATTTTCCAGCGTTTCTAGGTTTCCAATGATTGTCTGATTGAAATAAGTTTGCTCCTTCAAGTATTGAAATTCTACAAACCTCACAATATGAATCTATCAACAGATAAGACTATAGTTTATAGACGACCTTTCAAATATTCTAAAGTGACCTAGAGAAAGTTCACCTGCCCACTCGAGTTAAAAGACGGTCAAATATTCGTGTGAGAAAAAGGATTCGGATTTAGTTTTAGTTTCCATCAAGAACTGATATCAGTTATAGTGCTGAAATTCCTTTAAGCCACATAGATGAATGAATTTCGAAACTAAGTTTAAGAATTGCGACCATAAATATTATTGGTTCTTCCATAAATTTTAGTCTGACCAATTAATGAGTCAACTACAATCATCATTACTGCATCGTCAGCGACAACTAATACTGGATAATTTTTTGTACAAAAATGTTATCGATCATTCCATTTATGTTAAATAATCGTCAAAATCAAAATGATCCAAGGTGAGTGACACTATTTATCAATACAATCTGTTACCTGATCATCAGTATCACACGGTTGCAGAATTGTTGATTGTTCAATAATTTCTTCCATTTTGATTACTTCTGACTCTTCTTTAACTTTAAGAGTACTGATGGAAACAGGAACAGTAAAGATGGTGGGATTTATAGTATCTGAAATAAGACTGGTTGCAGAAACTGTGGTAGTAACAGTGGGAATAGTATTAGTAGTATTGATAGTAGTAGTAATAGTAGCAGTATAGGGAGTGGTAATGGAAGCAGTACTGACAGAAATTTGACTGTTTGTGACAATAGATTTAAGTGTTTCATTTGTTTGTTGTGGAGTTGTGAGAAAACGTGATAAACTCCTTGGTTGTGCACCACGAATGTGGATATTGCTGTGACGACGTAAATCATACATACGGACAAATGAAGCTTTACATTGATCACACACAAATGGTCGTTCACCTGTATGTCGACATATATGTTCACGAAGTTTACTTGGTTGTAAGAATTCAATACCACATTCCTTAAATGGACAAACAAAATGTATTCTTATTTCTTGCCTCTTAATTCTGTGAGGACTAGGAAGAGAAACTGTTGATTTAGGTGCAATAGCTGGGAGAATACGATTTTTTGAAATATTTGATGAATTCAATAACACATCTCTCTTTTCTGTTGGTTCTTTTGATATTGGCGACCTGAGCGGTGAAGTAGTTTTAAAATTAGTGCGTAAGAATCCAGAAGTGTCAAAAATAGTCGGGTTTGTACAATTACTTACAATGTCAGCGGATGAAGAAAATCGTTCATTGAATTTACATGCAAGTCCGTGCCTAAATTCATGACGTTTCACACTCTATAACCGAGTGAACGAAGCACCACAACCAAATTTTCGACAAACGTAGGGCCTTTCACCAGTATGAGTTCTTAAATGTTCCTTGAGTTTACTCAAATTTGAGAATAATCTACTGCATTCAGAAAATGTACAAGCATATTGACGACTCGAATCCTGATCGGCTGATGAATGTTGAGATAATTTATGTCTTTTCAAATCCTCCTCTGAAAAGTATTTCACATTGCAATTCGGTGCATCACATGATATCGGATCAGTAATCATATGCCTTGATATATGTTGATTCAACCGACATCGTCTAGCAAACGATTTGTCACACCCTGGATATGTACAATGATACTTTCTCAATTCTCTTGTAGGCTCAGTGCTAAACATTGTTCTGGAATCAGGAATTATCATGTATGACTGAAATGATTCGGATTTGACAGTTGTTGCATTATTATTATTATCATCATTATTATTCTCAATATTTTTAATAATTTCATTAGATGAATTATTTACAACGGATCTTTCAGTATTATACATCACATCATTCTTTTCAGCTTGACTTCTAGCAGATGACAATGAAACCATGATATTCTCAACATTCGATGGTGTTACAATCATACCACCAATATTATTATTATTATTAGTAAGGGTTGCAGCAGACGAAACAGCTGTACTAGTAACACCAACATTACACAAACTATTTGGTGAAGTAATTATACCTCCAGTTGTATTCAGTCCTAATCCGGATATATACGTAGACAACGGAATGGCAGATAACAAATTGGGAAGTAATGACGCTGTAGGGATTGTTACTGTGTTGACTCCACTGCTACCACTACTAACACTACAACCACTACTAATGTGGTTACTATTGTTGTTCACATTACTACCATTAACATTAACATCGATCATACTGCTGTTCACCATCGGAGTACACATTGATCCAGCTAGCTGACTTATCATGTTCACTGTGGCACAATTCACAAGCACAGCAGCAACAAGTGGATTCAGTGCAGTCCCACTATTCTGTACAATATTACTCGTCAAATCTGTCACACTATTTACATTAGGCACACTCATTCCCGTTGAATTCACAACTGGAGAATGAAGCCACAATGTAGGCAATGCATTGGAAACAACATTCGGCATTTGCACACTTCCTGATCCGTTCATTTTACCCGACAGTATAGGTTGGAGTGCAACATTTTGTATGGTGGGAGCAACATGTGGTGTACATGTGAGTAAATTGTGAATCACATCATTCAGAGGTAAAATTCCAATAGGTTTAACCGAATCTGTGGTTACGGTCACTGGAGTTACATTTCCAGTGGCTTCATCCACTTTAACATTCGACACTGGGATGTGAGATTCACCTTTCATATGAGAGTCATTTGAATTCATATCTCCATCATTCCCATTGTAATCTTCCTCCGCATAATTTTCTTGTTCTTTGTTTAATACATCATCAAATGTTGCATCTTCCTGTTTCATACGATCTTCATCTGGATCTGTAGGTTCTACAATAACTATTTCATCATCATCATCATCATCACCACAGTTAAGTAGTTGAATCAATTCTGGATTTTCTATTTTAATTGAATGAGATGAATGTTTTGAATTAGTAGATAATTTGAATTTTGAGGATGATTTCATTGATGCAGGCATGAGAGTAGGTCGATGAAGCATGATTGTGATTTTGATTTAAAATATCCACAGATATATTTGCATATAAATTTAATGAATTTACAAATGGTGAACAGTAATTTATATGTTCTGAGCAACACGATATTTGAAATGGTCTGTTCAGAATTCACAAGTAAAATCAATGAATTCTATAATCCAATATATTGCCCATTCATTTGAAGTTCTAGTTAGTAGAGTTCACTTGTAATAATTTCGGCTTATGTCGATCAGACCAATAACCGTCTCATTAACCAATCGTTGGAATGGCGTTAGATATTGACCAGGAATCATAATTACTATTGGTCTACTCAACATTTTCAATTAATCATGACCAATCGTATAATGATACAACAAACAGATTTGCCTGCTATCATTGTCTTGTCATTCTTACTTAAAAACTCAAAAGTTTCTTTTATTTTAGTTTATGATTATAATGCACCATGAATGAGAAATTGTAATTTCAACATTATAAGTAGTTGAAAGTTGAGCAGTGTGTGCATATTTAATGAACGGGGTTTTATGGAAAATTTAACATGTCACTATAGTTACTAATATAAAGTATCGAAACATGAACCCAAATTCTTTGCTTTACCGAAATATTCAAAGTTATGAACAATTTATACTTAATCAAATAACAGTTTGAACAAATATACTGGACTGTGATTAATGTATATCTTACTTAAGACCAATGTTTCTATTCATTTTAAAGATATCATTCACTTTTATATATGTGAAATATTTGATTTTAAAATGTTCTTAATTTGGACAGTATCACAAATGAAACAATTGAGAAATATCAGAATGGAAATAGTATTAACAGTGATGAAAAACAATAAGTGAAATACACACCCATGTAGTTTGATAATATTTCTCACTGATTCCTCGCACATATTATTTAGTAGTCAGTTCAACAAATCAATTATATTGATCATTTGTTAGCTTGTGAAAACAATGAGCTTTCAAATCGGTCATTGAAAACAACAAAATCCATACAACAAACAAATGTGAACCATTTGAGTATCACACTGAATTATTTCAAAATCACTGAAAATGATGAGAAGAGTTAACGAGAGATAATGCGAGGTGAGTGTAAGAATGAGAAAGTTGGTAAAATGAATCGGAGGATGGACAAGAATTAACAAATTTGTCTCCTTTGGTTAGGACAGTGTCACAAAATGAAACACTTGAGAAGTATAGGGAGAGAAATCGTATGAACAGTGATGAATTGGAATGAGGAATATGGAACAGTGGTTTGTGTTGTATAGGATTCCATGTGCAATTCAAATAATGGTGACAAATGAATGTGACACGACAGTGGAGATTGATAATAGTAGATTTGATCGTCAAAATCTTCAACCACGAATGCTGATTATTTCGCAGATTGCAATTTGGAAGTAAATATCTAGCGTCCATAGTGCAGTCCATGAGTCAATCATTTCGATATAATCCCTTGATTCAATCATCACGAGTTTGGATCGAAATTCTATGTTGACTAAGATTGTATGTGTGGGTAGACAGTGGTTAATTATGCACAAACATGTCCCAATCACACAAGTCGATGAGATTTTAAAGTGTTCCTGATCAGTTCACCATTTCAACACACTATTCCAAATCTGACCTCAACATTCCTAACTTGACATTTCCTCCAAACATGAGTGATGATTGGAAGTGATCTATGGTGAAAAAATACCTGATTCTCACGGATGTCTTCTATTCTAGAATGTGGTGTTTAATAATCGTAGAGGGATACAGACATAATTGTTGCTCAGTATATCTGGTCGTTGACTGACAGATGATCAGATGCCTAGGATGCTCAACAGATGTAATGATTTTGTGAAATTCGAAGATGTTTATTTCATATATTCTTAGATTTTGTCAGACACCCATCCATTTTCAGAATATGTCAATTGGTTAACTTCGATCATCTCAAGATTTAAAATATTAGTGTGTAGTTTAACCATCCGAAACTGATATATGATGTCTGTAGAAAGTTTAGTTGGACAACGATTTCGAATGAGGAATCACTCGGTAGTTGTATCATCGTCCACAATATCATTAGGGATCGAGCTGATGATCTTAAGGTCCGATGACGAATTTCTGACTTCCAGACCACTGAATTCACAACCAATCGCATACAAATCACTCTTTACTCAATTTGTAGCAGTGTGAAACCATCATGCACTGCAACGGGTAGATTATATTTGTCTCACTCCGATGTGGTCGAACTTCATCGCTCATGGCTTTCTACTGGAACCCGTATGACTTACCTCTTGAAGTTAGAAACTAGTTAGCACACGATTATCAATATTATTATTATTATTATTATTATTATTATTATTATTATTATTATTATTATTATTATTATTATTATTATTATCATCCAATATTAGATTTTGGTACAATGTAAAATTCTCAAAACAAAGTATTTCAACAAGTTTCCGTTTCTTATTTCTTGATCGATCCTGACGATAAATATTGAGTGGTAGCCAGTTAGATGGTAGCAGTTCAGGAATCGACATGTGAATAATGTGATTTTGTTTTCGATGTAATTCTCCAGCAACCACAATGTCTCCGATTGTGCTCTTTCCTAACTGAATAGGTAGTGCAATCAGTTGACATAATGATCAGTTGAAACAAACGAAAGACAGAGAAATCGGTGAAATATCTAGATGGGAGGAAGAGATAGAGCGCATATTGAAGCAGGCCGTCTAGTCCTTTGAAGACTTTTCTTTTCGTAGTGAAAACTAGTGACTTCATCCAGTGATCTAATCCGACAAAATTTCAGTAATATATCGGCTACAATTTAGTTAGCTAATATTGATATGTAATATTTTGTCTCTTAGAGATAAACAATTGTGGGCTTAACTTAACACACTTATTTCCCAGTTAGGTTTGCTTAACCAGATCTAGTTGAGTAGGTAGGGGAGATAGATACATCATTGTCGTATTTTACACAAAGTTCTATGGGATTTTTCAATTCTTTAGACTATAGACCGATAATCTGCACTAGTAAGTTGAATTGCCTTCATTCAGGTTTGTTATGATGCCTCATGATGAGAGCCAAGATTTTTCGGAAATCATGATGTCGATACCCATCGAATACATAAGAACAGACAGAGACAGGCACATGTTTTACTTTCGATCACCATCTGGGGATGGTTAAACTGAAACTAAAGTTAAGAAAGCACCAAACAAGTGAAACAAAAGCACTACAAAAGTATAATACAGTCCTCTCTCAGGATGTCAACCAGATCCGTTTTTTCAAGATTGATTTCAGAGATTAGTTTCAAGCTCTATAAGTTCGGTTAAAACGATAGGAAACCAATATGGAAAACAACTGGAAAGGGATAACTCAAACACTGACTTCAACGTGTTAGGAAGTCCTGGGCAGCAAAAAACACCACCATAATCAGTAGAACTCTATTGAAAACCTGAACGAGATTCAAGAAAGAAAGAAGAAGTGTAAGTCATTGAAAACAGACGGACAATGGCAGAGAAAGCCTAAGCATAGTCCGAATATACAGAAACAAACAGGAGAGTGAAGAGGAGCATTAAAGTCGATAAGATGAAATATGTGGAAAACCTAACAGTGACAGATAAAAAAGCTGCAAGGAAATTTGAGACAGCTACATGATACAACGAAGAGGTCAGAAGAGAAATACAGTAATTCAGATCTCACGCTGAGTCACGAAACTTCAGAAAATTGAATTTTTCTACTCATTGGGATATTACTTACTTACTCCTGTTACTCCTAATGGAGCAAAGGCCACCGACCAGCATTCTCCATCCTGGGCCTTCCTTTATAGTTCGATCCAATTGTTGTTCATTCTTCTCATATCTGTTTCCATTTCCCGGCCAAATGTATTCTTTGGTATTCCTCATTTCCTTTGGCCCTGAGGATTCCATGTGAGGGCTTGTCTTGTGACACAGTTGCGTGCTTTCCTCAATGTGTGTCCTATCCACTTCCATCGCTTCTCCCTGATTTCTTCCTCCGCTCAGATCTCGTTAGTTCTTTTCCACAGTAGGTTGTTGCTAATAGTGTCTGGTCAACGGATCCGAAGTATTTTACGTCGAGCAGCACATGAACGACTGTTAACGGGGATCCACTCTAACAGTGCTTGTTACACCCTCATGCTTGGTGCTATGCCTACACACCTGCCAGTCCATGAGAACTGGCCATCGGGTCTCCAGATACACGAAGGGTGTATCTCGTCGGCTCTCCGTTCTGGCTAGGTGAGGTCAAGTAAATGACCACACTAGGATCCTGTATGAGTGTTTCGGAGACATAGCGTACATCAATAGTACAAGGTTCTGGGGTTTTAATGAAGGAGGTCTGCTGACCTATTTGACATAGTGTGCATACTTTGAAGGCTCCAATGTGTAGTTTGAAGTGAGGATCCAGTAGACCTGGGTCAGTGTTTTGCGCTCTAAAATCATTGTTCATGGTGACACTTGAGGAGGAAGCCAAGAGAAGAAGTTTAGAATTGAGTGTCGAGAGAGATTGATTATGAATACAGTGATCTTGAGTGCTGTTGGAGTTATGAGGGCGGTTATCACATCCCAGTTGCCCATACCATAGAAGGGTTCTTCTGGAGGAACCTGAAAACGAAATTGTATTAGAGGCGGTCTTAGTGACCTGAGAGTGTGACCGCAGTGCTCAAGGCACAACTGCTTGAGGCTTGTCACACATGACTTTTTTATGAGTAGTTTTCGTGTTAGCTTCATATTTGTTGGGATGTTACAGCCAGAGACGGGAATTTGTGGGATAAGGCGAGGTGTGGATTTTTAGGGTCGACTTTTTCTAACCCCATGTTTCTTTGTGAGAAGGCAGCATCGCCATTATGCTGTTTGTCTGAAGGAAACACCTTACTGTCGTCACACCTTTGTACAGTTCGCAGTACGACATCGTGATAACAGAACAACTGATGTACTCTTATCTCAAACGAAGAGTATGCTTGAGCTTCAGTATTTTAAAGGGAAAAATAATATATGGATTAATACAA